TGTGGATAAAAACGAACCCACTGTGGATAAAAACGAACCCACGGTGGATAAAAATGAACCTCGGTGGATAAAAATGAACCCACTGTGGATAAAAATGAACCCACGGTGGATAAAAATTAACCCACGGTGGATGAAAATGAACCCACGGTGGATAAAAACAAACCCACGGTGGATGAAAACGAACCCACGGTGGATAAAAACGAACCCACGGTGGATAAAAATGAACCCATGGTGGATGAAGATGTCCCAGAACGAGCAGGGGTTGGAGGGTTAAGCCGTTCCGTGCTACATGTGCGGGTGAATGTGAGCGTGCGAGAGGTGATTAGTGATCACTGAAGGCTTTTTCATCAGAGTTTCCCCTCAGCGCCCGACAACAAAGGCATAAATTACCTCCAGCAGATTAGCGCTAATCTGCAGCCCTGCTCTGGTCCTCATTACCGTCGCCGCCTTTATGATCCGCTCTCTGCTGGGCCACCTAATCAAACTATCATCCTCGCCGTTAAATACCTCCACAGCAGCCCCGCCGTCTTTATCACCGCCGCTCGCGTCGGTGCTGGGAATAATAAAGCCTTAATGGAATCTTTTTAAACAGCAGGTGACTCGTGCAGGTCAGCGCCGGCGTCCCTCGGTGGGATTTGACGCCAAACAAACGCTTCAGAGGCGTCCGAGCTGCTGCTGCTGCTGCCGCCGGATTCTTTGGTGTGTAAAGTTTAGAGGGGAAATACAAAAGCAGATTCAACAAAACGGAGCGATAAAGTGTAAAAAAGATTTAAAAATCTTCCTCCAACACCAGAAAAAACATCAGTGTTGCATTATAGCATCACAAGTTTATTGTTATAATCAGATATTTACACGTAATACAGCAACAAGCTAAAGTTCTACACATAAACCCATTATAAGGTACTAATTACCTCGTTATAACATCTATGTTTCCATGATGAGTTCTGCCTCCTGCCTGGTAGAAATCAGAGCTGCAACCGTTAGTCCACTAGTTGTCGACTGTTAAATTCAGTTAATCAGTTTGAGTCATTTTTAGGTAAAATCAGTCCAAACTTTGTGACTGCAGCGTCTTCAGTGTGAATATTTTCTGGTTTCTTTCCTCCTCTGTGGCAGTAAACTCAATATCTTTGGACAAAACAAGACATTTCAAGAACTTTTTCTAGCATTTTCTAGATTTTATCATCAACAATTACACAATCATCAGTTGCAGCTCTTCAGTGAAGCTTCATCAAACCAAACTCCATTCAAAAAAGTTCTAATTTAAAGCCAGACAGAGAACGTTTATAAATAAATCCAGATTTTTAGCTCCGATTTGGTCGCCTCCAGCAGATTTTAGAATCAGGATGAATTTTTTAAATAAAAACGGTCAAAATTTTGTGATCGCAGCATCTTAAACGTTAATATTTTCTGTTTTTTTTCCTCCTCTGTGACAGTAAACTGAATATGTTTGGATAAAACAAGACATTTGAGGAAACTGATTCACATTTTACACCATTTTCTAATATTTTAGAACCAAACAACTAATTGATTAATCGTTATTTAAAGTAATTATTGGTTTCAGCTCTTTAACGAACCTTCATCAACCAAACTCCATTCAGAAACGTTAGAAATTAAAGCCAGATTCAGAACGTTTATGAATAAATCCAGATTTTTAGCTCCGATTTGGTCGTCTCCAGCAGATTTTAGAAACAAGATGAATTTTTTTTTAACAAAACAGTTTAAATTCTCTGATTTCAGCTTCTTTAGTGTGAATATTTTCTGCTTTCTTTCCACAGAAAACGGAATATATTTGTGTAAAACAAGACATTAGAGGAAACTGATTCACATTTTCCACCACTTTCTGACGTTTATCGACCCAACAGCCGATCGATTCATCCAGAAATGAATCAACAGATTAATCGACAGTGAGCAACCCGTTGGTCATAGATGATTTTCATCCTCTTTTCTCCTCACACCAGGCTCCCGCATTAGGCCGAAGCCTGCCGTCTGCATGAGGACGAGCAGAAAGTGTAATATTCAGCCTCGGTAATGGTTCACTTTACTGTTTGGTTTCTTTGATTTTCTTTCCGTGCAGCTCGCCGTGCAATAAAACTGTGGAGCTTTTTATTGCCGACCTGCAGATAAAGAAAAGATGGAGGATAAGAAAAAGGACATAAGAGCGAGCGAAGGAATCGATAATTTCCAAACATTAAAGAAGCCATTACATTAAATCCTCGGTGGATTAACTCCTTTAAATATCCCTATTTTTCTCCTTTATCTGCCGCCGAGTCGGGGGTCCGGCGGCTCGGACTCGAGTCCCTGAACGCTGTTTATGGTGCGTTCGAGCGCCCTCCTAATGGGTCCGGCCACGTCGCCTCGAGGCCCGCAGCCGAGGCCCGAGACAGATAATAATTCTCTTAATTTCTTTTTAACTACAGCGCCATTACAGAAACGGCTCGGTATCGATCACGGCTGCTCGCTGAGGCTCTGCTGGATTTAACTACTGACTCTGAATGCAGCTCAGCGCGCTCTCAGGTTGTACGGCCGAAATAAAATGAGATTTTTCTCAACTTTTGGGTTAAA